TTTCTTCCTGAAATTAACAATTCAGGCGTTATAGGGCTAGTACAGATCACAGGCTAGGAATCCTACGGGGCAGTTCCACTCTGTCGTATTGGGTTGTTATCATTGGAATTGACTCATTGGTACTCAACAACAACAATAAACCAACGATGGTTGTTGGGTGCCATCGAATTGGTCTGACCCATCCTGGCCCGATGCACAATAGAAGCAAACACGGCCTGGACCTGCACCCTCCTCACAGTGGTTCCCAGGCTTGAGCCCATGGTGGCAGCTGAGGTGACAGACCATCTCGTCAAAGGCCTTCCTCTTTCGCACGGCCCATCTGTGTACCGAGCATGACGTCCTTCTCCAGGGGCTGATCTCTAGGGTCTCAGGTAGCCCGACAAACAGGTGAACATCAAAGCCATGTGAAGTTTTGTGTGATTAACGTGAGTGTTCTCGGCCCTTATCTTTAGCTGTCAGCAGCTGAGTTTAGGAGGTGGTCTTCACATGGGGCATTCTTATTGCACCGGAGAAATGAGGAGTTCATTTACAGCAAAAGGTTTAGGCATCAAGGATGTGCGGACGATACAGTGGGAAGAATCTCAGCAGACGGTGCTGTTGACAGTCCAGGTGGATGGTGGCATGCTGGAAATGTTTTGGAGATTCGTTCATAGCTAAAGGGTTCTCCAGAGGCTGTGTAAATGCTGCAGCTGAAGGAAGACCATCTGAGTGTGCTGCTCACCCCTGCTCCGGGCTCTTTGGAGAGCACACTGGAAACTGTGGTGTTTTGTTGTTGTTGCTGTTGCTGTCATGCCATCATCTCACGCGCACTTTTTCCTGATGGATACCATAAGCTCTGAAGAGGATATCGGATAGTTAAAGAAGGGAATGGGAAGAGAACACAGATTAGAGATCAAATAAGAAATAAAAATAAAGTAGTTGGCCCAGGACCTACTGCAGTGAGTTAGTTTGGGTACTTTAGAGAAACAAATCCATATCAACTCATGTATAAGAGAGAGTTTTATATAAAGGGTAAGTGCACATCAAGAAAACATCCCAACCCAGTGCTACCCAAGCCTGCAAGTCCAACATTAGCCCATATGTCCGACACCAATCCACAAAGTCCCATATGTCCGACACCAATCCACAAAGTCCTCCTCCATCTCACAAAACAGATGCAATGATGCCGACTGCAGGAGGAAAGCCGAATCAGTGAATGTGTAAGCATCTCAGTGCTGGCAGGGGTCTCCACACAGTTGCTCCAGCACCCAGGGCTGCATCAGGGTAGATCCATGCGGCTTCTCCTCAGCGATGTCTTGCCGGAAGTGAGCCTTGCCAGCTGAAGCAGGGAACTGGCTAAGGCAGCTGCACCCTGGTCTGATCGTCAAAAAGCAAGAGATCCCTCCACCCTTCGATTAACCCCACATGTATTTATCGGCAAGGTTGACACAATAAACTTTATCTCATGCAGACAAAATGTAGAGGGCTTGTTTGTTTCCCCTTGGAGTCAGTGCACAGAGGCCACATCTGACCTCCTCTGGCTACACAAGGGAGAGGGAGAATCCATCTCCACACCAGCTTCAGCCACAGGCCACAAGGCAGAGGTCAGACATGCCTTCACCCTCCACCCTTCTTTTACCCTCTTCTGACGCCAACCTTTCCTCCCAGGACATGCTACTTTTCTGCTGGGCTCAGTAATTGGTGGCAAAGGCCATAGAGAACTCACAGACCATGGCATGACCATGCGAGTTTATTAGGATAGTTAACAGGTTGCTCCACAGGAGCACCTCTCCTCAACCAGCAGCTGAATCTGTCTTTCCAGTCCTCCGCCTCTCAGTCATGTGGTGTCTTGATTTGTCCCTCTGTGGCCAGCAGGCCCACCTGACACTCGATCTCACTGCCTCATGGTCTCTGGTCTCAGAGGTGTGTCCTCTCTGCGTGGTTTCGCTGTTCTGTCCCATAGTCTCGTTGCTGTGCCCATTGGCGCCTCTAGTTCAACCTTCACCACTTTAGGCACAGGTCTTGCTGGTGCTCTTCTTCCTTGATGGCGCTGGGATTCCCTTTGAAATGGCTCTTTTATATGCAGGAGACTGGCAACTGAAACTGACTAACCCCCTCTATTAGTGTTCCATACCATCTATTTGCATGCCCCCCCGCCCCCCAACCATTCCCTTGGAGTTACAGCATCATGGATGTTGTTGTTTTAGGTGCCATTGAGCCAGCTCCAGCCTATAGCATCCTTACGCACAACAGACCGAAACAACGCATGGTCCTGCATTGTCCTCACAATTGTCCTCCGCCCGATCAGTGGTGATGCAGCCACTGCGTCCGTCCATCTCTTAACGGCCTTCCTCTTTTTTCTTTCACTACCCCGCCACTTTATCAAACATGATGTCCTTCTCCAGGGATTGGTCTCTCTTGACAACATGTCCAAAGTACGTGAGACAGAGTCTTGGCATCTGGTTTTCCTTCT